AGGCAGCAGACTTCCCTGTGGGATGGATCCCAACTAGGCCGGGCGGGGATTCGCCTGGCGCCCCAAGCAGGGACCTGTGTCCATTCCCCCCCGTCTCCTGGGTCCCCTCCTTCTGCCTGGCGGCAAGAGGGCAGGGGATCCTCCGCTTCCTGTGGAGCCTCCATGTGCTGTCCTTGTCTCAGGGATGGTAGGGTGCGGCTCCACCAATCTATCTCCCTCTCACACTCCCTGATACTCCCGTCAGATCTGATCAGCTGTATCTAATTCAATCCACCTCTCAACCCCAAATCTAAGTCTCATAGGATCTAAGAAGATGAGTAAGCCTTCCATTTCCAGCTTCCAGCTTTCCGCAACAGCCCAAAACCAAGCTGTACTGTGCAATGTAGTCAAAAAAGACAGGGTGCGAGTGAACCAATGTAAAGGGGACTGGTTGTCAAGACTGATGAACACAGACATATTCTTCCGCTGGCAGGCAGATTAACCCAACAAGGACTGGCTTCACTGAGGCTACAAGGGATTGACCAAGTCATGACTTGGCTGCAGCACAGAAGCAACAGGTAAATACACTGCTGAAACAGCAGAAAACGCCAGGCCCAACTACACAATAACCAGAGCCTAGGTATTTATATGACTTAAAGTTTTTCAGGTTAGACTTTGGGCTCTCATGGAATGAAAAGAAAAAAAATACAGTTAATTATTTTTTTTTTAATACCCACTATTGTGACTACATACTGCAGTTAAAGAGGGGAGAGCCTGCTGCCTTACATTTCTTCCAGCTCATGCCAAGCACCTCTTCACAGTAATCAGAACATCCCTGCAAGTGGAGACAGTCATGCACCTGAAAATCTCTGTCCGTAGCAGTGATGGAAATACTGTTAGCACACCCGTTCCCAGCTGAATACAAGATGCTTTGGCCAGACATAGCAATGTGCAGTAAAAAACAACTCTAAGTCTGGCTGACATGGGAAGGGAGAGTTCAGGCACTGTGGTGAGACACACTTATTCCTACCATCTAGCATTAGGCGCTTCTCTTCAGTCTCTCTACATACTCCCCTCAGAGCACTGCCGTATCATTGGAGCCAGGCTCATCCAGGAAAGTCTGACCAGAAGCCCGAAGGAAAACTTAGATCAAGTTTGACGCTTGAGATCAAGCAGTGTGGATCCCTCCTCTGGAGAAAAGCCTGCCTCTGCGCTTGCTTGAATAGAGAGACAGGGAGGTTTGGAACTGTGTAGAAGACACAGATCTGCCTGAGGAGCTAAAAGCACAGATGGCAGTCCCATGGTGTTCTTTGCAGTCTCAGGACGGTAAAAGGCTCTCATTTGAGTCTGTCTGCCATTTAGAGAGCATGTCCATGTTCAGCGAACTCGAGAAGCAATTCCACCAGCTTACTTAAAGGAAGTCTGTTCCCGCCTAAAGCCTGGTGCTTGCAGAAGTAAAATGCTAGTGAGATTCCTTAAGCTCAACCTGGCACAGGGACAGGCACTATGGGACTTGGAATAAAAAAAGTAACTCAAGTGGCTGCAATATGAAAAGTATCTTGGCATCAGCTGCCGAAAGGAAAGCACAGAAACCAGATGTCCTAGCTGAGAGACCCAAGTTCAGGATGTGTCTTGTCTCCCTCAAAAATCCCCCACATGAACAGGCTCTGCAGGATTCAGAACTCCCTGAAATCTTTCCAGAGAGAGCAAAAGAAGAGTGCAGAAGCAAGATGGGTTGTTCATGTCTCCTTTCCTTACTTACCTGC